AATTAAAGCAACAAAACAACCTGAAGAGCCGGTTCGGAGCCGAAAGAGCCGGCTCTTTTTAGTGAGCCGAACCGAAAGAGCAGGATCTCTAAAAAGAGCCGGAAATCCCATCACTACTGCAGTCAGCCGAGATTGAAGAAGTCACTTGAATGATGATGAAACATTTCTCCCACAAAATGCTACGTCCAGATGAACAGAATCAACTTTTGGAGATTTACTTACCTGGATGATCGAGCATGCATCAAGACCACTCACTCACTCACCCTTCCCTCCTGCATCTCAGCTGCTAAAACTCACAGTTTGTTACCATGGAAGAGTCACTCCTTCATCTGAGATGAAGCCTGATAGTCTGACTGATGCAATATAACATTCAGTCTACACTTTTGTTTTTGTGCAAAGATGATAAGCAGACTAAAAGAAAAATATATGAACTCAGTTCCACCACTATTAAAAAAAGAAACCAGTGCCTGACTCACACACACATTGCAAGTAAAATAATCTGAAAGTCACAAGTTGACTAAATTATTTAGATGAGAAAATATATATTTAACACATTTGAGGAAATACTAGTAAAATAAACAAAATATATGTCCGATTTAGAAATCTTAATTTTTTTTTGCTCTATAAAATAGTTGTTTTTATTTTTCAATCACTCATCGTAGCAGTAGGATTTACATTAAAAGAAAAACAAATTAAGTTTGAGTGAAAAAGTACATTTTTGGCACTCTCTGGGCAACTGTCTCAGTGACTTAAATTACTTAAAAAACCTGATTCATTTTCGTGAGTGACTCATTTTAACTCGATTCGTTAAAAACTATCAAATTTACCATCACTAATACAAATCCTTTTGGAGAAAACTGCTTTGAAATATGTATTGTTAAATTCCAGATTTTTCTTTGCAAGAAAACTCAAACACTGAAACAATACCACCAGTAACCTCCTGCACATGGAAATGTGGTGTCATTAAAGACATAATAATTTCATTGATACCCAATATCGAGCAAAATATGTAATTTGTACATTTTATTCCTAACAAAATCAAATGCATATATTGTGGAAGATTAGCCAAATCTATGTAAAATGGCCAGTACATGAATGTTTTTTTAAAAATAAACAAACATGACTGTGACAAATTTTACATAGTAATTCAGAGTCTAGTAATCCACTTAAATATAAATATAAGTTCAACTAAAAGTTCTACTGATAAGTCAATCAATAATATCATTCACATTTTAAATGATCATATGTGTTAACATTTGAATTCTGACCTGAGAGTTTCCACTGCACACTCTGAACTCTTTAGTCCAGCAGACAGAAGCTTCACTCCTGAATCCTGCAGGTCAGAGTTACTCAGGTCCAGCACTCTCAGACTAGAGGTCTGGGCGCTAAGGACTGAGCACAGGGCTTCACAGCTTCTCTCTGACAGGTTACAGCCACTCAGTCTGAAAAATAAAAGATAATCTATAATTCTTATGTAAAGTTTGTTATTTTATTTTTGAAGGAAACCGTAACATACTAAGATAACTAACTAACATTATATGAATGAACTTGAATAAAATGTTTAATTGGTTCATTTTAAAAAACAAAATGTCAATTGATCTGACCTCAGAGTATTTAGTTTACAGTTTAAACTTTGTAGTCCAGCAGACAGAAGCTTCACTCCTGAATCCTGCACATTTTCGATACTCAGGTCCAGCTCTGTCAGAGTAGAGGACTGAGAGCTGAGCATTGAGGACACAGCTTCACAGTTTTCCCCTAAAAGTTCACAGACGTTGAGTCTGAAAATGAAAACATGAACAAAGACTGATGTTAAAGTGTAATCAGGGTCCAATAACTAATCTTATATTTTAAGAATCCTTGTTGTTTTATGCTGAGCAGATGTGGTACGAAACAACAGTAAATTGATCAAGTTTACCTTTACTGTTTAAATTGCTGGATTTATTTTCTCAGTTAAAAACAAAACAAAACAAACAAACAAACAAACAAAAGAATACAAATCGGTCAGACCTCAGAATATTCAGTTTGGCTCGTGGGCTCTCCACTGCAGCAGACAGAAGCTTTACTGCTGAATCATTCAGGCTGTTGGTACTCAGGTCCAGCTCTCTCAGACTACAGGACTGGGAGCTGAAGACTGACAACAAATCTGTACAGCCTTCCTCTGACAGGTTACAGCTGCTCAGCCTGAAAAAAAAAAACAACAAGAACAACAAAACAATATTTATCATCGAATAAAATCTCTTTATATGTTGAATCTGAGTAATCAAATGTGTACAAATGAGTACACTACAATGCACAATTAAATAAGAAAATGTTCAAGAATTTAAGTGTAACAGAAGCAAAATACTTAAATTAAACAAATTAAACACAATTACTCCAATGTATGTAAATGGAAACCAGTGAAGAGCAGGTTAATTTAGTGACAGTAGTTCAGTGTCTGCTGGCACAGGCCTGTGAGTACTGCAGTATTACAGTTACTACAGTACTGCTGGTCACTTTATTAATTCTAATATGTGTGATTACTGTAAATGTAGTTATAAATAATGTATCACATCCAGGACTTGGTGCAGACTCCCGTTTCATTTTCTGTCTAAAAGCTGCTTTAGCTCATTCCCCTTTGAAGCCCTGCTCTCCCTAAAGGCCAACTTTATTTTGATTGGATGATTTCATAAAGCACGCTGAAGGGCAGCAGCCAGTCATCATGAGTTCCATCTAAGAAACTGTAAACCTCATAAAAACTCGTCTTGATGCATGCTCAATCATCCAGGTTAGTAAATCCCAAAAGTTGATTCTGCTCATCTGGACGTAGCTCTCTCAGCGGGAGAAACGTTTCATCACTCATCCAGGTGACTTCTTCAGGCTCAGCTGACTGCAGCTTTCCCCAATCTTATAAAAAGTACATCTGCATAATGACTGAAACCTAATCGTCAAGGAACTGACCTCCCAGCCTATTGTTCCTTCAGTGGGCTGGTTTCAGTCAGTATACAAATGTCCTTTTTATAGGGTTGGAAACCTGCAGTCAGCTGAGACTGAAGAAGTCAGCTGGATGAGTGATGAAACGTTTCTCCCACTGAAAGTATCAAACAGTATCAAACTGTTGGGGCTCATAAAATCATGTTTAGAAATCTTCTCAGATGTATTTTTACATTTTAGATCCACAGCAACAAAGTTCACAGCAGAACGTCGCTGTTCAGTAATTATTATGCCCATTACCTGCAAACTGTGAGGTACGCAGGTAATGCCAGGTAAACACTAGCTGTCTGAATCCGTTCCTGTTAAATGTGTGTATAAAGGAAATAAGCTGAAATACAGAGACTGGATGGATCTGTGCTTTGACTTCGACACCAAACATTTCTTCCTGTTAAAAGGGAGTTTTTCCTTCCACTGTCGCCAAAGTGCTTGCTCAAAAGGAGTCATATGGTTGTTGGGTTTTTCTCTGTATCTATTACTGTATGATCATATAATATACAATATAAAGTTCCTTGAGGCGACTGTTGTTGTGATTTGGCGCTATATAAATAAAATTGAAGTGAATTAAATTACATCCCATTTCAGGTACCTGGAACCTGAACCTTATCTGGAAACCTGGGACGCTGGTGGGTTTCTCTTGCTTACCTATCTGCTCATCCTCTTTCTTTCTGCTCGCATGATGATGATGATGATTTCCTGGTTGAGTTTGTAAAGACTTTTGCTCACCCCATTTCCGAGGGTAGTTTAGGGAGAAAGTTACTGAATCTCCGGCAGGGCCGTTACAGTGTGGCCAATTATGATTTACCAACAGCCACTGCTGAGGCAGGCTGGCCGGATCAAGCTCTGCAGGGTCTATTTTTTCCATCCATCCATCCATTTGCTTCCACTTATCCTTTTCAGGGTTGCGGGGGGCGCTGGAGCCTATCCCAGATGTCATAGGGCGAGAGGCGGGGTACACCCTGGACAGGTTGCCAGTCTGTCACAGGGC